AAAAAAAACAAAAAAAAAACAAAAACAACAACAACAAAAAAAACCTGTCGAGCTGGGTGCCAGTGGCTCATGCTTATAGTCCTAGCTATTCAGAAGGCTGAGATCTGAGGTTCAAAGCCAACCTGGACAGGAAAGTCTATGAGACTCTTATCTCCAATAAACTACTCAGAAAAGGCAGAAAGTGGACCTTTGGCTCAAATAGAGTGCTAACCTTGAGCACAAAGAAGCTCAGAGGGCTGGGAAGGTGGCTCAGTGGTAGAGTGCTTGCCTCGCATGCATGAGGCCCTGCATTCCATTCCTCAGCACCACATAAGCAGAAAAAGCCGGAAGTGGCGCTGTGGCTCAAGCGGTAGAGCGCTAGCCTTGAGATGAAGAGCTGAGGGACAGCGCCCAGGCTCAGAGTTCAGGCCCCACGACTGACCAAAAAAAGAAAAAGAAAAAGAAGCTCAGAGACAGTGCCCAGACCCTGAGTTCAAGCCTCAGGAACAGGAAAAAAACTTGCTTAAGATCTCTACTTGTATTACATCACCTAATTGTGTTAAAATGTCTTCGTACAACTACTTTAGGATAATAAAAATAATTAAAAATTAAATGCATATTTAAAAATATAAGATCGCTACATGTATTATCATTTAATCCTCAACCCTGTGAATTAGGTGCCGTTATCACCCCTATTCTACTGGGACCCCTCTGAGACCCAGAGATTAAAAAACCTGTCCAGTATGGCAGAGTTAAGAAGGTTTTCAATTAAAGCCGTCAGACTCCAGACTTTCAGCTGCTACACTCTATTGCTTCTACAGAAGTTGTGGATGTCTTTTTTTATTTTTATTTTTTGGTCCGGATCCTGGGGCTCAAACTCAGGGCCTGAGCACTGTCCCTGAGCTTTTGCTCAAGCCTAGTGCTTTCCCACTTGAGCCACAGCACCACTTTTGGATTTGGGGTAGTTTACTGAAGATAATAAGAGTCTCACAGATTTTCCTGTCTGAGCTGGCTTTCAACTGGCATCTTCAGATCTCCTAAGTAGCTAGGGTTGCAGGCATGAGGCACCAGCACCTGGCATTGTGTATTTTTTAAGAAGATAGCTCTCTTTCCTCCACTTGTATTAGCAACTGTTGAACTCTTCTTTTTAGTATATGACCTAGGGAAATGTAATGAATTCTGAGTATTTCCAAAGACTAAATAACCATTATTTAGTTATACAACATAAACTGCCTCTTAGTGGTTGATTACAAGTATAGTGATATAAAGTTCTCTTTCTTTTCCCTTCTAGACACATACCTTTCCAGTTAAAGCTGAGAGATCATCTCCACCGATGACTTTTATGTCTCCTGTTGACTGGTCATTCTAGTTAAGAAAAAAATATCATATGTATCTACATCCTTATGTATACACTCCTTATGTATACACAAGACACTAGAACTAGAAGATTTAAGAAGTTAGCTATCTAATGTCTGCAACATTATATTTTACACAATAAGAATTATAAGAGATATTTCTAGAAATGAGCTAAATAACTTTCAAGTAGAGATTAGTAAAAATGAGTCTTAAAAATAGAGCACACCCATTTTCTGAGTGGGAAGTATTACTGAAGCCACCAATCATCAGTTACAGTCACTTTTGAACCACAAAGAAAGTTATTAGCATGACAGGTGTCTGGTTCTGGCCCTGTACCATTCCCATGTGACAAACAAGTTGTAAGGACTAGTCTATATTACCTCCAACCCCAAGGATAAGTCCTTCAAAAGTCTGGCCCAGGCCCAGGTAATCTCAGCACTGTCTGAGAAACCAGGTCTGATCAGTAATCCTCTCAAATTTTTCTGCTACCATAGAACCCAACAGAAACCCTTACAGGAGTTTCAAAGGGGAATGCTTAGCATCCACTGGAGTTTTGGTGGTAATAAGGGTAATTTGGACGTTCTGGATTCAAGACTAAAAACTGGGTGAAGACAGGTGAGTTAACAGCCTGAGCCTTCCCTAACAGAAAGCAAGCCATACCATGAAGCCACAGTAATTATGATGGCATGGTACCAGCACAGTAATTGACAAAGATCAAGGAACAAAGTAAAGCCCAGAAACAGACCCAGTAATATGAGGATTTAGTGTGTGATAAAGATGGCATTTTGAGTCAGTACAAAAAAGATGAATTATTCAATAAGTGGTGCTTGGTCAACTACATATCCATTGGGGGAAAAATAAAAGTATGGGCCCTACCTCACAGCATGCATAAAAATAAATTCCAGATGGATTAAATCTAAATGCAAAAAATAAAGCCATAAGCAGACTGGAAGAAAATGGAGGAAGGTTTTTTTCCACATTCTTAGAAAGGGTAAAAATCTAGAATATGATGTGAACTGGAATTGAAAAGATCGGTGACAAACATTGCTAATTACAGCTTGGGCTCCAAAATAACCTATAAGACAATGGAGAATAAACACAAAGAGCAGAGGTCCATAACATATACAATGATTCCTACTTGAAAAATACTAAAAGTGATCTGTTCACCCATTCACATTCGCAAAACTGAACTTTGGTGATATTCACGGGAAATAAGCCCTCTTGTGGTGAAAGTATAAATTGATACCACCTCTTTTGAAAAGGATATAGCAATACTTACTAAAATTATAAACATGTATGCCATTTTTGGCCCTATAATCCTGTCTACAGGAATTGATGCCACAAAAACACTTAGTAATACTCAAAGGTACATTCAACATCTATTAGCTGTTCATCAAAAAATTACTGATATGTCTATTAATAGAGAATCACTTAAATCAATGAAGGTAATCTACGCAGTAGTAATACTGTCATATAGTAAAAAGAATCTGGGATTGGAGGAGTAGCTAATAGAGTGCTAGCTGACCAAGTAAGAGGCACTCAGTTCAAACCACAGTAACAACAACAAAAAAGAATCTGGTTTTAGGTGCAATGACTCACACTTGTAACCCTAGCTACCTAGGAGACTAAGATGAGGAGATCATGGTTTAAGATCCTAACCTCTCAGCCTAACTACACAGGAAACATAAACAGGAGGATCACAATCCAGGCCAGCTCAAGCAAACATACAAGATCTTATTTAAATAATAAAGCAAAAGGACTGGAGGGTGTGGCTCAAACACAATGCTTGCTTAGCTAGCACACAGCCCTAAATTTAAAGCCCTAGTCACAAACAAAAGAACCTAGCGATCTAAAATATAGTAACAGGAAAGAACACTAGGCATACCAAGTCACAGACCAATGTGACACCAACAAAACTGTTATTTGGTATTTATAGGCCCAGCACTCAGGAAGTTGAAGCAGTTAGAGGTGGCTTATACCTGTAATCTTAGCTACTCAGGAGGCAGAGATTGCAATTTGAAGCCAACCCAGGCAGGAAAGTCTGTGAAACTCTTATCTCCAATTAATCTCAGAAAAATCAGGAAGTGGTGTTGTGGCTCAAGTGGTAAAGCATTAGGACTTGAGCAAAAAGGAGCTCAGGGGCAGGGTTTAGGCCCAGAGTTTGAGCACCAAGATTAGCAAAAAAAAAAAAAAAAGTAGTTGAGGCTGGTCTTGTCTTGTTCTACCTATCAGTTTCAAAATTCCAGAAAAGGCAGGGAAAAGAAAAAGAGGGAGAAAGAGAGGAAGAAAAGGAAAAGAAGAGAAAGGTGGGGAAGGAGGGAGAAAAGATACATTTTAGGTTGGGCTGAGGGTGTATAGCTGAGGGGTAGAGTGCTTGCCTAGCATTAGTGAGGCCTTGGATGACATTCTCAGCACCAAAAGAAGTAAACCAAAACACAAAACTAAACCCATGCAACTACTACATGTTAAACTAAACATATGTCTTTAACCACTGAAAACAGGTAGAAGTGGAGCTGTGGCTCAAGTGGTAGAGTGCTAGGTTAGAGCAAAAATGCTTGGAGGAAAATTGCCTCTGTCCTGACTTCAAGCCCCAGTACCAACACACACACACAGTTACATACAGTTACATACAGTTACACACAGTTACACACACACACACACACACACACACACACACACACACACACACACAAATCAAATGCACAAAAAACCTAGAAGCTTTAGTTAAGCAGTTTTACATTTCTACTGGATACCTTGGTAAATAGTGCCACCTTCTGTAGAAATGTGGTATTACAATCCAACTTGAGTTGAATTGATTCTCTAAGAGTAAATACCCAAAAATTAAAGTGGTTTTCCCCCCCATTTATGTATTTATTTATTTATTTATTTTTGGGGTCCAGTCGTGGGGCCTGAACTCTGGGCCTGGGCACTGTCCCTCAGCTCTTCAGCTCAAGGCTAGGGCTCTACCACTTGAGCCACAGCACCACTTCCGGCTTTTTTCTTTTTGCTTATGTGATGCTAAGGAAGCGAACCCAGGGCCTCAGGCATGCAAGGCAAGCGTTCTACCACTGAGCCACCTTCCCAGCCCTCCATTTATTTTTTTATTTGTTCTCTGTGGTCAGTTGTAGGGCCTGAACTCAAGGCTAGGCACTGTCTCTGAGCTTTTTCTCAAAGTTAGCACTGTACTACTTTGAGCCACAGCTCCACTTCCAGTTTTATGGTGGTTAATTGGAGATGATAGGCTTTTGGACTTTACTGCCCAGGGTTGGCTTTGAACCATGATCCTCAGACCTCAGCCTCTTGAGTAGTGAGGATTACAGGCTTGAGACACCAAGACCCAGCTTGTGCATTCTTTTTTAAGAGGAATAAACATCCAAAAACTGAAGTGTACTCATTATGGAAAAATATTCATGACACAAGGATGTAATTGATGGGGTAAGAGACAACTCCAAACATCCAAGGTATTGCTGCTCTGCTAGCACCCAAATTTAAACACCCCTGGTGGCCCCATAATTTTGAGCTTGTGTTTTCTCCTGAGGGTTTTTTTTGTTTTTTTTGTTTTGTTTTGTTTTTTTGCCAGTCCTGAGGCTTGAACTCAAGAGCCTGGGCACTGTCCCTGAGCTTCTCTGTACTCAAGGCTAGCACTCTACCACTTGAGCCACAGCGTCACTTCTGGCTTTTTCTGTTTATATGGTACTGAGGAATCAAACTCAGGACTTCATGCATGCTAGGCAAGCACTCTACCATTAAGCCACATTCCCAGCCGAGGCTTTTTTTCAATGGATCCCAGTCACCTTTAGACTGAAGGCTAAGAAAAAGATTTAAGAGTAATGGTACATGGGCTGGTGATGTGGCTCAAGTGGTAACATGCCAACACTGTATGAAAAAGCCATCACAGAAATGGAGGGACAAAAGGTGAACAAATGTAGCAATGGTGGTACTATGTTGAAAACAAACTATACAACTCATGGGTGAGTAAGAGAGGGAAAAACTGTGAGACACTGAGGGAAGAGAGGACACTGTCCAAAAGAAATGTACTCACAGCCAGGCACCAGTGGTTCACGCCTGTAATCCTACCTACTCAGGAGGCTGAGATCTGAGGATCGTAATTCAAAGCCAGCCTGAGTAGGAAAAATGTGTGAGACACTCTACCTCCAATTAACAGCCAGAAAACGAGAAGTGGCTCTGTGGCTCAAAGTGACAGAGCACTAACCTTGAGCAAAGCACTCAGGGACAGTGCTCAAGCCCTGACTTCAAGCCCCACAAATGACAAAAGAAAAAGAAATGTACTCACTACCTGACCTAAGTAACTGTAACTCCTCTGTATATCACCTTTATAATAACAATTTAAAAAGGAAAAAGCCGAGCCAGAATGTGAGGCCCTGAGTTTTAAGCCTCAGTATCAACAAACACATAAACACACACACACACACACACACCATTTTTCAAAAGAGCAATGATAAAGTCCACTTACTAGAATACAGGTGTAACTGCTCAAATTATATACAAATGCCATGTGTAAATCAATTGTATGACCTGAGCGTCCAGAGGAACTATATCAACTTCCCTCCCTCCTTTCTTGTCTCGAATGGGCTTCCTATTTTCCCTTTCCAGAATCCCCCTTACATGCATTTGTTTGGTGTGTACCAGGGCTTAAAACCAGAGCCTCATGCTCTCACTCAGCTTGCTTACTCACAGCTGGTGCTATATCACTTAACCCAATCTGGCGATATAACCTCATCTTTGATTACAATAATGCTGGGGTGAAGAGCTGGCATGTAGGAAGAGTGCCCCCTAGTGAGTTCCTCCAGTCACCTCTCTTCCCATCCCTTCTCACTTTTCTCAGAGGCCTGAAACTAGCTTTAAAGAAATGTCTTATGAAATGGTAGCCTCTCTGTACAACACCTTAATAATAATAAAATTACAATTTAAAAGAAACTATCTATAGAAGTCTTTGTATAAATACATATCCTTACCATTTGTTTCTACTTTGTCTACCTCTTGGAGTCTAGGTCAAACAACGAGGATGATATGAAATAACTTCATTTTTTTCATAGTTTTCCATCCCTAGGAATTGTGAAAACCTCTATGCACCAACAAACTCTAGCTTTGGGACTAGGCATGTGGCTTGGCATTTGTAAGGCCCTGAGTTCATTCCCAGAAGTGGAGGGAAATATTTGTCTGATAACTTTTCCACCCAACCCATCATTTTCATTGAACTATTTTAGTTAGAAAAAATATACAGCTGGGCTCTGGTGGCTCACACCTGTAATCCTAGCTACTCAGGAGGCTGAGATCTGAGGATTGTGGTTCAAAGCCAGCCTGGGCAGAAAAGTTCCTTATCTCTAATAAACTACTCAGAAAAAGCCAGAAGTGGTAATGTGGCTCAAGTGGTAAAACACAAAGCAGCTCAGGGACAGCGCCCAGGCCCTGAGTTCAAACAACAGGACTAGAAGAAAAAAAAAACAATGATTGTGGTTCTAAGCCAGCTTGGGAAGGAAAGTCTCTGAGACTCTGAAATTGAAAGAGCCGCTGCGGCTCAAAGTGGTAGAGTGGTAACCTTGAGCAAAAGAGTTCCAGGACAGCACCTAGGCATTGAGCTCAAGCCCCACAACTGCCAAAACAAAAGTAAAATTCCACTGTGACTAAGTAAAATTAAGATGTAAGTCATGGGCTGGGAAGGTAGTCAGTGGTAGAGTGCTTGTCTTGCATGCATGAGGCCCTGGGTTCCATTCCTCAGCACCACATAAGCAGGAAAAGCCAGAAATAGTGCTGTGGCTACAGTGGTAGAGCACTGGCCTTGAGCTCAGGGACAACGCCCAGTCCCAGAATTCAGGTCCCACCACTGACCAAAAAAAAAAAAAAAAAGATGTGAGTCCTATAGGTTAACTGTGGGCTTCTCTATGATGTATATATGCCATATGCTCTCTTTCTGTCTTATTTCTTTTGTAATAACTTTTTACTTTTACTTATAAAAAAAAGATGTAAATCATTTGGAGAGCTTCAAAACAATGCAGACAAAACCAAAGTTGGTCTATATTTTTAAAACAAAAACCCATACTAACTATACTTACACAGTAGCTCTTCAGTCTGATAAAATCTACAGTCATAGGAATGGATCTATCACTATTTCTATTCAGTGCCTTAATGTAATCCAGCAGGTCAGCAAAGAACTTGTAGCCTCCCTTGAGCACACAGAGGGCTACGATGTGATGTCCTCCCATCTCCTTCATCACATCTCGAGCAAGCCTTTCAGTCCTATGGAAATACAATGAGAGATTGAAAACAAATGTGCAAAAAAGAAAACAAAGTTCTATAGATTTCCGCTTCATAAGCATCCAACTTTTAAGCAGGGCCCTGGTGGCTCACACCTGTAATCCTAGCTACTCAGGAGGCTGAGATCTGAGGATCGCGGTTCAAAGCCAGCCCGGGCAGGAGAGACCGTGAGACTCCTATCTCCAATAAACCACCAGAAAACCGGAAGTGGCGCTGTAGCTCAAGTGGTAGAGCGCTCGCCTTGAGCTGAAGAGCTGAGGGACAGCGCCCAGGCCCAGAGTTCAAGTCCCACGACCAACAAAAAAAAAAAAAAAGCATCCAACTTTTAAAAACCACATCTATTTCCTCTAGGACAAGTATCTTTGCTTCATAAATCAAAAATTAAATTTATATATTTATATATATATACACTTTTTTTGGAGGGGGTCCGGTTGTGGGGCCTGAACTCTGGGCCTGGGCGCTGTCCCTCAGCTCTTCAGCTCAAGGCTAGCGTTCTACCACTTGAGCCACAGCGCCGCTTCCGGCTTTTTTCTTTTTTCTTATGTGGTGCTGAGGAATCGAACCCAGGGCCTTGAGCATGCAAGGCAAGCGCTCTACCACTGAGCCACCTTCCCAGCCCCTATATATATATTTACTTTTTTAACGATACAGTCACTATGTAAATCAGAGTAGCCTCAAACTCATAGCCCTCTTACCTTCTGAGTGCTAGAATTACATGTTTGTGTCATCATACCCACTCAAGCAAAATTAAAAGGTGGTATATTTAAAAATCATGTAGAACATGAACCCAGTGCTGGTGGCTCACACCTATAATGCTAGCTATTTAGGAGTCTAAGATCTGAGGATCCATGTCTGAAGCCAGCCTGGGCAGACTAATCAAAGAAATAACCAGCAAACTAACCATCAAAAAACCAGATGTGGAGGTGTGGTAGTGAATGAGTGTTGAGTGAAAACACTAAGCTTGAGCATGTGAGAGCATAAGTTCAAGTCCCAGCCCCTGGACTAGATAAGATACTATGGACACTGTAACATTAAATTTTTTATTTTTTTAATTTTTATTTATTTATTTATTTATTTTTTGTCTGTCATAGGGATTGAACTCTGGGCCTGGGCACTGTCCCTCAGCTCTTCAGCTCAAGGCTAGTGCTCTGCCACTTGAGCCACAGCACCATTTCCGGTTTTCTGGTAGTTTATTGGAGATAAGTTTCACAGACTTTCCTGCCCAAGCTGGCTTTGAACTGTGATCCTCAGATCTAAGCCCCCTGAATAGGATTACAGGCATGAGCTATGGGTGCCCGGCTAACATTACAAATTTTAAAATGGAAATAAAAAGATGTCACTTTACTTATCAGATTGGCAAACTGACTCAACTATATTTCTTTATTATACATTAATAGAGATTGTGAGGGGGTATACCATTGGGAGATTACAATGATACAACTTTTTGGAGGATAATATACAATGAATGCCTTCCTTCTGATTCTGAATTTATATCATATCTGGATACAAGTGCCAAATACATGGAAAAGGATATCCCCTCTAATATAGTAGGTAAGGGCAGGCAAATCAATAGATTTTAAGTGGCCATCAATAATGAACAGTTATGGCATATCTACAAACAGAATGCTCACTCGCTCTCTCTACTAAAATATGTTAGATATATGATAACTTGATGTACTGATATGAAAAAAAAGTCTGATGAAATTTAGTAGCGGGGCTGGGAAGGTGCCTCAGTGGTAGAGCACTTGCCTTGCATGCATTAGGCCCTGGGTTCGATTCATCAGCACCACATAAGCAAAAAGAAAAAAGCCAGAGGGGCTGAGAAGGTGGCTCAGTGGTAGAGCGCTTGCCTTGCATGCATGAGGCCCTGGGTTCCATTCCCCAGCACCACATAAGCAGAATAAGCCAGAAGTGGTGCTGTGGCTCAAGTTGTAGAGGGCTAACCTTGAGCTGAAGAGCTGAGGGACAGTGCCTAGGCCCAGAGTTCAGGCCCACAACCAACAAAAAAAGAAAAAGAAAAAAGAAAAAAGCCAGAAGTGGTGTTGTGGCTCAAGTGGTAGAGCGCTAGCCTTGAGCTGAAGAGCTGAGGGACAGCGCCCAGGCCCAGAGTTCAGGCCCCACAACTGGACCCCAAAAAAAAAATTAGTAGCATATGATAGTACATGTATGTGCTAAAAATATGTGTATATAACCACATTTACATGTAGTAAGTATAAATGAGCAGTTGATGTCTAGGGACTGTATTTTTCCATTTGCAGATCCCATTATACAATGTTTGTTTTGTTTTGTTTGGTCATGGGGCTTGAAATCCAGGACTGGGTACTATTCCTGAGCTTTTTTGCTCAAGGCTAATACCCTACAACTTTAAGCGACAGCTCCACTTCTGGTTTTCTGGTGGTAAACTGGAGATACAAGTCTCATGGACTTTCCTGCCAGAACTGACTTTGAACTACAATCCTCATATCTCAGATTTCTGAGTAGCTGGGATTACAGGCATGAACCCAGCCTAAAGTGCTTCATTATTCCAAGACCAAGATTATAATTTGAGGGCTGGGAAGGTGGCTCAGTGGCAGAGTGCTTGCCTTGCATGCACGAGGCCCTGGGTTCCATTCCTCAGCACCACATAAGCAGAAAAAGCCGGAAGTGGCGTTGTGGCTCAAGTGGTAGAGCACTAGCCTTGAACTGAAGAGCTGAGGGACAGTGCCCAGGCCCAGAGTTCAGGCCCCATGACCGACAAAAACAAACAAACAAAAATGATTACAATTTGGAAATAAACAGAAGAGTCAGACATATAAGCACGTATGTAATACCAGAAAAAGTTTTTCACTCTAATTTATTGATGGGAAAAATTTCAAGCTATATGTGCATAATAATGAAAATCTGACTATGCCTTCATGTGATTCTCAGGCTACTACTCTATGCAGGATTAAGAAATCAAACTGATAAAGAGTTCACTTTTCTTTTCTTTTTTTTTTTTGGGTCCGGTCGTGGGGCCTGAACTGTGGGCCTGGGCGCTGTCCCTCAGCTCTTCAGCTCAAGGCTAGCGCTCTACCACTTGAGCCACAGCGCCCCTTCCGGCTTTTTTCTTTTTGTTTATGTGGAGCTGAGGAATCGAACCCAGGGCCTCGAGCATGCAAGGCAAGCGCTCTACCACTGAGTCACCTTCCCAGCCCCAAAGAGTTCACTTTTCCAACCTCCTTTCAATGTATACTTTATTCTACTCCCTACAGATATCTAACAAATTATGGCATTATTCTATATAATTATTATATTATTATATAATATTATACAGCATTATTTATTATTATATAATAATCTTTTGTTTTTGTAAAGACAACTTTCAAATAAAAAGTTTTCAAAGCTGGGCACTGGTGGCTCACTCCTAAAATCCTAGCTACTCAAGAGGCTGAGATCTGAGGATCGAAGTTCAAAGCCATCCCAGGCAGTAAAGTCCATGAAACTCTTACCTCCAATAAACCACCAGAAAACCAGAAGTGGCGCTGTTGTTCAAGTAGTAGAGCATTCACCTTGAGCTGAAGAGCTGAGGGACAGTGCCCAGGCTCAGAGTTCAAGCTCAATGACCAACAAAAAAAGTATTTAAATTAACAAGTTAGCCTAGTATATATATTCAAATATCAACTACAACAATTACTGGCACTTAAAATTTATTTTTAAAATTTTTAAAAGATCTTACCTGTCCATTATCAGTCCATGAGGTATAAATACCTTTTCCAAATCCTCAACGTAATGTTTAGGTATACAGAATAAATCTAGGTCATAGCCTGGTTCGTCATCACTAATCTGAAAAAGAAATAAGAGTTGTTTCAAATCAAAGTATTACAAGATACAATTAACTGGCTTTAGATGATAAACTACCAGACAAATTTAGATATGATATAATACAAAGAACTGTTAATTTTTGTGTGTTTGTGCCAGTCCTAGGGCTTGATCTCAGGTCTTAGGCACTGTCCCTAATACCTTTGTGCTCAAGGACAGCACTCTACCACTTAAGCCATAGCTCCACTTCAGGCTTTTTGGTAATTAACTGGGGATAATAGTCTCACAAACTTTTCTGCCCCAGCTGGCTTCAAACTATGATTCTCAGATCTCAGTTTCCTGAATAGCTAGAGTTACAGGTGTGAGCCACTGGTGCCAGCTAGAACTGTTAACCCTATAGTTATATATTTCCTTATGTACTAATACATCTTTGTATCCTTGTAGTATACATTATCCTCCTGTAAGAAAAGCATATCTTAGAAATGAATAGTTAGCCGGGCGCTGGTGGTTCACACCTGTAATCCTACCTACTCAGGAGGCTGAGATCTGAGGTTCACGGTTCAAAGCCAGCCCAGGCAGGAAAGTCTGTGAAACTCTTATCTCCGATAAACCACCAGAAAATCAGAAGTGGCGCTATAGGTCAAGTGGTAGAGCGCTAGCCTTGAGCTGAAGAGCTGAGGGACAGCGCTCAGGCCCAGAGTTCAAGCCCCACGACCGACAAAAGAAAAAAGAAAAAAAAGAAGAAAAAAAGAAATGAATAGTTAATAAAAAAGTGAGCCACGCACTGCTGGCTCACACTAATCCTAGCTACTCAGAAGGCTGAGATCCAGAGGATTTTAATTTACTGACAGCCAGGGAAGAAAAGTCCATTTCCAAAATAACCATCAAAAACTCAGGCTGAAGGCATGGCTCACTTACATGGTTGAGTAGTAACTGTACAAGCAAGCTAAATAAGCTGAAGATCTTAAGCTCAAACCATAGTACCTAAAATAAAATTGTAGAAGTGAAACACATAGGAAATTTATGCTGGGCACTGGTGGATCATGCCTGTAATCCTAGCCATTCAGGAGGCTGAAATCTGAGGATTGTGGTTGAAAGTCAGCCTGGAAAGGAAAGTCCGTGAAACTCTTATCTACAATTAACACCTTAGAAAACGGGAAGTGGCACTGTGGCTCAAATTGGTAGAACATTAGCCTTGAGCAAAAAAAGCTCAGGGACAGTGCCCAGACCATGAGTTCAAGTCCCACAATGAACCAAAAAAAAAGTAGTAAGTCAATCATCTTTAATAAAATGTAGGATTTGAAGTCCTCAGGCTATGTCCAAACTAACCAGTAGGTAAAACACTTAATTTACTTTAGGTAAGTCACTAAGAAAAAAAGACAATTTAAAGAGTTAAGAAATGTGGCCAAATGCTAGGCATTTAAAAAAAAGAGTTATGAATATATGGAAAATATACATTATTCTATCTACCTCTAATTATGTTTGAAACTTTAATACTATATGCTTGTCATGAGTTAAAATACACAGATCAAGAAACCTGCTCAGAGAGTAGAACTGTGGTTCAAGTGTTAAAGTGCTAGCCTTGCACAAAGAGGCTCAGAAACAGTGCCCAGGCCCTGAGTTCAAGCCCCACAACTGACAAAAAAAATACCAATGATACAACCCCTGTGGTAATGATAAATATTAGGATTCATTCTACAAGTATTATACATGTACCAAAACACACATACACACACACACGCACGCACACACACACGCACACATACACACACACACATACATAACAAAATATATAACAAAACTATAAAGGCTATTACCCCAGGGCCTGCCTCACACCAGACAGAGCCCGTGCCAGCCCACAGAGCACTTGCTGGCCTGGGGCTAATCTCCTTCAAGCTAGCCTGGGGCCAAGCACACCTGCACACCTGTTGGCCCAGGGTCTGAGCATGGGCTACTTTACCCAGCGTGAGCTAGCACAGGTCAACCACAACCTGCTTGGCACAAGCAGGCCAAGCTCAGGCCATGGCCCTGACAATCCCTGAACCCAAATGCATAAATCACAATGAAAGATTACAAGAATCATGGACAATCAAGACAACAAACCAAGTCCAAAAACCAACAATAATCCAGAGAAGGACCCCAGTGAAAGTGAAGAAGAGATGGAGGACCAAAGAACCAGTAAAGAAATGACAGGGGCTGGGAATATGGCTCAGTGGTAGAGTGCTTGCCTAGCATGCATGAAGCCCTGGGTTCAATTCATAAACAGAAAAAGCCAGAAGTGGTGCTGTCATTCAAGTGCTAGTTTTGAGCAAAAGAAGTTGAGGGACAATGCTCAGGCCCTGAATTCAAGCCCCAGGACTGGCAAAAAAAAAGAAAGAAAGAAATGATGATAGAGCTGGCCAATGAAATAAAAGGGGAGATGCAAAACCAAAACCAATTTCAAGAGCACAAAGAAGAGGGGCTGAGAATGTGGCTTAGTGGTAGAGTGCTTGCTTAGCATGCATGAAGCCCTGGGTTCAATTCCTCAGTACCACATACGCAGAAAAAGCCGGAAGTGGAGCCATGGCTTAAGTGGTAGAGTGCTAGCCTTGAGCCAAAAGAAGCTCAGTGCACAGCCCCTAAGTTCAAGCTCCAGGACTGGCCAAAAACAAAAACAAAAAAGAGTATAGCCGGCATGGTGGCTCACACCTGTAATCCTAGCTACTAAGAAGGCTGAGATCTGAGGATCACGGTTAAAAGCCAGCCCAGACAGGAAAGTCCATGAGACTCTTTATCTCCAATAAACCACCAGAAAACCAGAAGTGACATTGTGGCTCCAGTGGTAGTGCACTTGCCTTGAGCTGAAGAGCTGAGGGACAGCGCCTAGGCCCAGAGTTCAAGCCTCATAACCGAAAGAAAAAAAAAAGAGAGTACAAAGAAGGAATGACAAATAATATCCAGGACTCCCAAAAAATACAGAGATAAAGATAGGCACACTATATACCTAATCATAAAATGAAATTAACACTATTAGAACTAATCTTAGAAGCAGACAAAGTTCAGTTTCCACATTGCAAGCTACAATGGAATGCCTAGATAACAGAATAAGTGAAGTGGAAAACAGGATATCAGGAGTTGAGGATAAAACAGAGGAACTAGGAAAAAAGTCAAAGGTATGGGAAAAAACACTCAGAACCTAACACAGGGAAATCCAAGAATTGGCAGACTCATCCAAGAGATCAAATTTATGCAGTTTGTTGGGATTGATCAGGGGAAAGAATTCAATACTAAAGACATGGGAAACCAATTCAGTAAAATAACAGAGAACTTCCCCAATCTTCAGAGAAAATCTCACCCACCTGACAGAAGTATACAGAACCCCCAGTAGACAGGATCTAAGAATAAATACTTCCAGACATATTATACTTTAAACATTAAGACTTGAAAAAAGTAAGGAATTAATTTTAAATCCAGCAAAATCAAAGGAGTTATATTACAATGGAAAGAAAATCAGAATCACAGAGCTCTCCACACAAACTTTCAGGGAAAGGAAAGCCTGGAATGGTATAATTCAAGTCCTGAACATTAACAAATGCCAACCCAAACTGGTTTACCCAGCGAAGCTATCGTTTACATTTGATGGTGAAACTAAAACCTTCCATGAGAAAAAAATTAAGGGAATTCCTGAACACTAATCCAGCCTTACAAAGAATACTAAAGGGAGGAATCTGAGCAATCTGAAGAAAACAATCAAAATCAAGGAAACACATTAAACAAGTCACTAGAAGAGCAACTACTGAGCACAGGAAGAGGAAAGAAGCAATATATAGAAAATCAAGAAAATGGCAAGAAACATAACGTATGTCTCTACAATAGCTAGAAGCATTAACTGACTCAATTCCCAATCAAAAGAAAAAGAACAGCAGCAGATTGGATCTAAAAGCAAGATCCATCCATTTATTGTCTCCAAGAGACCCATCTCACAAAGATAAAAGCAAACTGAGTGAAGAGTTGGAAAAAAGGTCTTTCATGCAAATGCACCCTGCAAGAAGACAGGAGTAGCCATATTGATAGCTGATAAAATAAACTTTTCATTAAAATCAGTACAAAGAGATAAAGAAGGTCATTACATCGTAATAAAGGGAATGATCCATGCAGAAGAAATCATAGTTGTCAATATCTACACACCAAATAATGGAGCACCCTAAATGTGTTAAACAAATACTTTTGGACTTACAGAACAGGACAGACTCAAACCAAAATAATGAGAGGTTTTAATACCCTGTTCTCACCAAAGGACAGGTCAACCAAACATATGATAAGCAAAGAAGCCTCTAAACTAAATGACATCGTAACCCAAATAAACAAGACGTCTACAGAGTATTCCACCCAACAATGACCCAATTCACATTCTTCTTAGCAGCCCATGGAACATTCTCCAAAACAGATCATGATGTCATAGTACACATAGAGAACCTTAGCAAAAACAGGAGGATTGACATAATTCTGACCACTGTGGACTCAAACTAATTCTCAACAACAAAACATACTGCAGAAATTACTCAAACTCATGGAGGCTGAATAACACAGTAGTGAATAACAACTGGGTCACAGAAGAAATTAAGAAAGAAATTAGAAAGTTCTTACAATTCAATGAAAATGAAAACATGTCACAATGGAACCTCTGGTACACAGCAAAAGCAGTGCTGAGGGGAAAGTTTATAGCTCTAAGTTCATACATAAAACAGAAACAGCTCAAGTAAATAATATCATGATGCAATGGGCTGGGAAGGTGGCTCAGTGGTAGAGCACTTGCCTTGCATGCATGAGGCTCTGGGTTCGATTCCTCAGCACCACATAAGCAAAAAGCAAAAAGCCAGAAGTGGCACTGTGGCTCAAGTGGTAGAGCACTAGCCTTGAGTTGAAGAGCTGAGGGACAGCACCCAGGCCCAGAATTCAGCCCCAGGACTGGACCCAAAAAATAAATAAATAAAATAAAACTGCTAGAAAGAGAGCAAAGATTAAGGCAGAAATCAACAAAATAT